AGTAGCGGTGAGGGAAGCTTATCTCCCAGTGAGGCTGCAAGCTTAGTGTGCTTGGTTTAGAGCACTGAGGGTGAAAATGGCATCTTATATGTCTTTAGAAATATGTCTGGATATAAAAAAAGGGAAGAAGAAGGTCTGATTCAAGGAAGTGTTTACTGCAAGGGCTGTGTATTGTAAACCAGCTGTGAGTACATTGCAGCTGGAGAGGGTCAGTATTGTTATTAATGTGGAGGCAATTAAAGCAGTGGTGAGTTCTGTGTGTGCCACCCGCAAGGAGCAGTGGAGAGCAGAGTCTGACTGCTTCCAAAATTGAGTTTATCACAGAAAACACATCATGTCATCACGTTTATAACCCAGAAAGTTCCTCCTAGTAATCACTCTGGATGGAAAATTGGCTGACGGATGGAAATTCTGGACAGACCTGCGTGTCTGTTTTTCAGGTGATGAGCAAAGTCTGTTCAGGAATAGTTTTTTTCTGCAGAGTAAAGCTGAAATAAGGCTTTTTGTTCCTCGTGTTCGTACTCCTCTCTTGGCAAACGTCCTTCTGCTGCTGCTCAATTTCAGGCTTGCCATGACTCCAGATGAGCAGAAGGACTTCTGGCGCCAGGTGCAGTTCACGGTGGATAAGGACGTCGTGAGGACCGACCGCAGCAACCAGTTCTTCCGAGGGGAGAACAACCCAAACGTGGAAACTATGAGGTGAGGTGTCTGACTCACATCTCCCGTCAGGGTGTCCTGTGTAGGAATGTGTAGAAAACTTAAGTCCACCTGGCCCAGGCTGCTGAGTTGCTGCCTTGGGAACACTGGGGAGCACCACGCGTATGGTGACTGGTACCAAGTGATGCCAAAACCAGGACTCCTCCCCCAGTCCTTCCACTGCTGCTTCAGTCCTTGACTTCTGGATACAATAACCCTGCTCCCAGCACCTACCTTCCTGTTAACTTCCCTGCATGCATGGGCATGGTGAGGTGTGAGCCTTCCACAGCTCTGGGAGAGTCCTGGGTGCTGCAGCAGAGTTGTGGGCTGTTGCTTGGGTCTGTGGTTCTCCTGGTGGGGTGGAGGATGAGCACACCAGAGTCTGTTTCATGAGTGTGTGACTTGTGTGCCTACAGAACAGCTGGATTTCATCTAACAGTATGGCTCAGAGCCTTGTGGATGTGTAGGCATCTGCTCTCCTTTCCCATGGGCCCTTCAATTCTATCCTCTTGGTCTTTTTAAATTCTCATTTTCTTTTTATATTTTGGTGTCTGTGTATTTAAAACCTCCTCCTGGGGTTTATTTCACTGGAATGATGTTCACAGCAGGGTTCCTCTGGATGTGTTAAAGCACCTCAGAGTGGGGTCGTGTGGCTTTGTACCTGAGATGAAGTGTTGCCTGTTCCCACTGCACTGCGCCCCGTGGGGTGAACTGTGGCTGCGAAACAGGAGCCTGAGGAGTTTGGTTCACAGCCATTGTCTTGGGCTGCTGTGTGCTATTCAGAGTTCTTGTTGCCTGTCAGGGAGCCCCCCCTGGATCGAGGCAAAATGTAATCCTAAAAAATAAGGAGAGTTCCATTTAGGTGCAGTGTTAGTGTGTCTTTGTTGTGCTCCTAGTTACAGTTCCAGGGACAGCAATTCCGTGGGCTGTGACACTCTGCAGGGATGCTCCAAGGTTCACAGGCCCCCGGGTGCAGCTGCAAGTTCATCTTGCAGATGGCAGGAGCAATCTGTTGCTCCTCTGCACTTGGCCTGACCAGTGCTTACAGCAGGAGCTGGGCTAGCAGGGAAGGGGTGGGACGTGCCCTCTCCGTGTCTCACCTCTCCGCTTGCCTCTCTTCTCCAGGTTCTGAACTATGCAGTGTTTAACCCAACAATTGGATACTCCCAGGGGATGTCTGACCTGGTTGCCCCACTCCTGGCAGAGGTCTTAGATGAGTCGGATACTTTCTGGTGCTTTGTAGGACTGATGCAGAACACGATCTTCGTCAGCTCCCCCCGCGATGAGGATATGGAGAAGCAGCTGGTGAGGCTGAGTGTGGAGCTCCCTCTAGCCCTGTCTTCATCTTCTCCTTTCCCCAGTCAAATTAGGAGAATCCCATAAAGGGGTTAGCTGGGCTGTCGGGTTCCAGCACACTAAAACACACTCTAAAGCCACAAAATGGATAAATTTGGTCCTGAGTGATTGGGACACTCCAGAGGCAGTTAGAGCTAATAAATTGTCTGAGTGAAGTTACTGCAGCTATGCTAAAGGCTGCTGACTCAAGGAATCCTTCACGATCAACGTGTTCAGCATGCTGCTTGCCTTGACTTTGCCCTTCTCTCAGGTGGTGGAGACTCACTGTCTTAGTTTTGTCCTCATTCTGGAGCGTTTGGTGTGAGTGAGGCAGAGGAGCTGATTGAGCTGCAGCCCAACCTTTGTGGGGTTTTTTTATGGTCTTACTATTTTTAACACATTTTTCAGATCGTGTCTAAAGCAAAAGCTTTCTATATCTGTCAGAGTTTCTTAAAATAAGGTGATCTTGCTTACAAATGAGAACTTCATAGGTTTTAACAAAAGTGTCAACTGTTTTCAATTGTCTGAGTGAAGTTATCTATTCTGAACCTGAAAAATCTATTCTAAACCTGAACAATCTTGTCCAGGTCACAGCGGCACCAGTTTAAAGTGGGGAACTCGTGCTGGGAACCCCATGGGAGGCTGCTGGTGAAGTGCAGATAGTTACAGATCCATGCACTGGAGTCAGGCTGTCCAAAATCACCCGTATTGCTCAGCCTCTACTGAAATTAAATACTGCCAGAGATAGCTCTGTCCTTTCTGTTCCCTGTTTCTTGCGTCTCCATCCACTTCCCTCAGCCTGAATCTCTCCCCTTCTTTCTTTTCACAATGTGGCTGTCAGGGGATTTTCTTTTCACCCTCCATCTTTCCTTGTGAAAGAGCTGCCGGGGCCCATGAGCTCCAGCAGTGCCGGCTCCGGGCGTGCTCCTGCCCACGCTGCAGTAAGCAGGCTGCAGAGCTGGAGCTGGCTGTGAGAGGAGAGAGCTGTGG